TTAGCACAGGGCAGTGATGTTTGGGGAAGAGTGACAAGATTTATTTACATAATTACTGAAGATGAGCAATCACACTTAAAGTCGAAACACCTCTCATGTATATTTAATATGCACTTTGTTTCTGTTTCAAAAGTCTTTCAACAAAATTATTTGATAGATTTTAGGAAAATAAAAAAAAAAAATAGTGCTTTTTTTTTTTTTTTTTTTTTTTTTTAAACATATGAATTAGAATTTTTTTTATTTTATTATGTTGTCATTGTCAGCTTTATTTCGTATCCAAGAATTTAATTTCTTCTTTTCTGATCACTTCCTTTATGATGATAGCATTGATTACCTAGTAGACCAATTCTTGCATGGAAGAGCCGATGGCATTGACTGCATAATAATGTTGGTAGAGGATGAGTATTATGTATTATATTGACTAAAAAAGCATTTCACTTACACAACTGTTTATTAAAACATTCAAAACCTGAAATTGAAACATAAAACATGGAATTGGTTTCATTCTAATGTGGATGATGTTTCGAGCACATTTTGATATTGCCTTTTTTAAATTTTTCTATTCCCTTGTTGATCTTTCATTCATGTCAACGAGACTTCTCAAAACAACAGAAAAAAACCCAAGGAACAATTGTTACTATGACAACCTGGTGACTTAAAAACACTAGTTAATTTTAATAGTTAATAAAACATAAAAATAAATATCTGTGAATAAATCTATGGGATTTGTTCATAAGAAATACATTAAAATGTAAGCATAGCAATTTGATATAGGAAAATAAACAGAATTTATGGTGAGAAAGAATATGTGCAAAATGTCAACTAAGAAATAAAAATTTAAATATCCAACTGGTTTTCACATATTCCATCATAAATTCTTTGTTTGGCCATTTCCTATCAATCATTGTTTCATTTTATCATAATTACAATTTGTGTATATTTTATATATATATATATATATATATATATATATATATATACACACACACACACACACACATACATTGAGTGCTGGTGCTAATAAAATAGTGCTGGATGTATAAGAGAGCTATAATTTATATTAATAATAAATATACATTGTTTTTTTCTTCACCAGTAGCACAACTCTGAGTTTCATGTTCAATGCAATCATCAGATGTTGATTGAAAACTCAATTTTCAATCAGCACTTGATGATTGCACTGTGCATGAAACTCGAATAGTGCTACTAGAAAGAAAAAAAATTATATTCATCAATTTTGTGTGTATGTGTGTGTATATATATATATATATATATATATATATATATATATATATATATATATATATATATATATATGTATGTGTATGTATGTCTGTGTTTATCTTTTGTCTCCTGAATATGTTTTGTTTAACTTTTTAAAGATCCAAAAAGTGTTGCTTTTAAAGCTCTTATTCAAATGATTTTTTTTTCTTAAAATTACCTTATAAAAACAACAGTTTTTGGCAATTAAAAAGTTAATAATTTTGTTCAAACATGACAGATGTACTGCAAATAGAAATTTGGTATTGCAATTGTACAAACTTGTATTTTTTCTTTTTAAAATTTTTTAATCATTTCACCCCAAGCAAATCGATAATGCCACTTGTTTTTCTCAACAGAGCATTGTAACATTCACAACAAATCTTTGCAATTTCTTTTTACCTTTGGGAATTTTAGTAAATGTTGCAATACTCAACATAAAAAAAGTGAAAATATTTATTTATTAGTTTTCAAAATACTTTATTGAAAGTAAGATTTTTTTTTTTTTAATAGTCACATTATAATCTCAGAAAGTCTTTTCTGTCTGAATTTCTAGAATGATGAGTTATTTACACTCTTTGCATTCGGACTATTGTCCTCATCTTTGTTGTTGTTATCACAACATTTTGGCTGTTATGCCCTCTGGCCTTTATTAGGTGTATATCGATCTGGGTTACCTACAAGGAATTCTGAACTGAACCTTTTATTTAATCTACTGCCCGATATCTTGTTTATTTCCTATATTTAGTACTGCTCAGAATTCCCCTGTAGGTTACTCAGATCGATATATGCCTGATGAAGGCTGGACTGCACAATGGCTGAGAGGTTACAATAACAACAAAGATGAGGACAACAGTCTGAATCTAAAAAGTTATCTTTGAAAGTTGCTTTCACTTTATCTACTGAAAGTTACCCCTTAAAACATTTTTATTTGTAAGCTATTATAAATGATTAATATAAATAGCTTATAAATAAAGAAGTGTTAAGATTGACAGTTTTATTTTGTTATCAACGATTGCTATATGCATGAAACATCAAGTAGCATCAAGTGGTGAGAAACAAATATATAATTATTCTTAGTATATTTATATTAAAGCGCATATAGCATTTAATGCCATTTTATATTTTTACCAATTTCCGGTCAGCCCCGTTAGATTGAAATGCTTGTTTTTGCAAAATATTTCATAACTGCAACAGATAAATTTAAAAATTCTAAAATAACTATAACAGAGTGTGTTCACACATTTTTAAAAATCACAAGGAGATTTTATTGCAGTTAAAATAAGTTTTTCTTTGTAATTTACCCCAAAGATGATCTTAGAAAAAAATCAAAAGTAGTTGCGTTCAAAAATATCTATGGTGCTTTCCTTGATGAATTTTATCCTAACATCAAGAAGCTGATTAGAGAACTGGAAAGGATCAGTATAAAAATAAGTAGACACAATATGATCTATATTATAGAATGAAGATATGCTGCCTAATATATATATATATTTTACTCAAAAGTAAAAAATACCAGAGAATTTATTTCTTCTTTTTCTCCATATCACATTCTCTGCTTGAGCTTTAATAGAAGTGGAACGTGTTAGATTGATGTTTTCTATTTGTTCTTTATTTTATCATTGTGTTGGATTCCAATCTGTATTTGATCCCAACTCTCTCTCTCTCTCTCTCTCTCTATATATATATATATATATATATATATATATATATATATATATATATTTCTAACAAGCAAAAATTGACAAATTTATACTAAGAATAATTATATAATGTTTGAATAAAATTTTATCTATTTTTTTTATATATATATATATATATATATATATATTATAAAATAAATAAAATTTTATTCAAACATATAATTATTCTTAGTATAAGTAAAAATAATTATATAATATATATAAGAATAATATATAATTATTCTTAGTATAAGTAAGAATAATTATATAATGTTTGAATAAAATTTTATTTTATATATATATATATATATATATATATATATATATTATAAAAATAAATAAAATTTTATTCAAACATTATATAATTATTCTTAGTATAAGTAAGAATAATTATATAATATATAATAAGAATAATATATAATTATTCTTAGTATAAGTAAGAATAATTATATAATGTTTGAATAAAATTTTATTTATATATATATATATATATATATATATGTATATATATTATAAAAATAAATAAAATTTTATTCAAACATTATATAATTATTCTTAGTATAAGTAAGAATAATTATATAATATATAATAAGAATATTAGTATAAGTAAGAATAATTATATAATATATAATTATTCTTAGTATAAATAAGAATAATTATATAATGTTTGAATAAAATTTTATTTATATATATATATATATATATATATATATTATAAAATAAATAAAATTTTATTCAAACATTATATAATTATTCTTAGTATAAATTTGTCAATTTTTTTGCACGTTAGAAATGCCATAATATTAGAAATAAAACATTTTATTCAAAGTAATCTTTATTTCTTTATCATTTTGTACAGGTCATTGTTGACTTATGACTAAGATTGGTTACAACCAACAGGTCGTAAATGAATCTGATTGTTAGTTGGTTAGTAATTAATTTTGCAATCTTTTTTTATCTTTCTTTAGGCATTATTGTATTTTTTATTTCTTTATATAGGATACCATTTGTATGATCTCTAGTCACATTGTTTTGTTTCTTATTTTTATGTTCATTCGGTTTAAGTCAAACAAAGCATACTGCAGTACAGTTCAATATTTGCTAAGCATGCAAAAAGCCAAAATACAAGTGCAAGAAACAAAAAACATTTTAGTTACAAAACATCTTAACTGCTGGTGCTTGATTGTGGATCATTGATATTGTCACCTGGGGCAGCACAAGGGAATGCTAGTGTTGCCAAGAGCTGGGGCAGAAATTGTCATAAGTCAACGATGACCTGTATGTTTTTATTTAGGAAAACTTCTTTCATACTAAGCTCATCGCAAAATGGCTGTTACTACTAAATTTTTGCACACATGGTACATTCTTAGATATTAACTACAAACACTGGTTTAAGTAGATTTATAAACCACCATTTTGTATTTCAGTACGAGGTCTGTAACTCCTTTATTTAGGACGGTTAAAATCAACTTGTATCTCTATTTTCTAGTGAACATTTGCCTCATTTTCAGAATCAGAGATCATTAAAGACAATTAATTTTTTTTTTTTTTTTTTGTCACTAAGTGATATGTCAGTTCTACCAGTGAGTACACATTGCAATGAACCATCTCTTCTCTTCTGCATGGCATTTTTGTTTTTAACAGATTGTTACAGAATTTATTCAATATTGCAATTATAATATAACATTTCTTTTTAGATATTTTCATTTTTAAAATCTAGAGCAGCTTGGTGTAGATGTTTCAGAAGATTACCTCAGTTGTTCCAAACTCCTGACCTTTTCGTAAATGTCTCGCATCTCTACACAAGGTGCTTCAAAATTGTCTCTTTCAAATGTTAGCATTTAAAAACCTTTTGAAGTTACAAAACAAGTTTAAAGTGGGTTTCATATAATGAAAACCAGCCTGCCCCATTTAGCAGGGAAGCAGTCCGTTGCATCCGTGCATTGTTTTTTAAAATATCATACATTTAGATGGATATTTGTATTTGTCGAGTTATTTGAATTACTTACACTTGTGTTAGACTATTAAACTGTGAAGTTTAATTATTTATTGTTTATTGCCATATCAAGCTGAAACACAAATTTCCATACAATCACTGAAGTTAAGAAACATTGACCCTGGTCAGTACCTAGATTGGTGACTGCTTGGGAATACCAGGTGCTGTAAGCTTGGATGCGCAACAGTGTAATAGATAACAGTTTAAAATTAGAAATCAGTGAGTTGAGTTCAAATTCCAGTCAAGTTTGTCATATACACTTATGTGCAAATACCCTCGGGAAAGGTATGAATCTGCCTCTCTCCACTCCCCAAGACTTGTATTGGTAAATCATTATCTCAACAAAATTCTTAGAATCTAAGAAATATTTACCTTCAGACTAATATCCCTATCTTTGTTGTTATCACCTTATGCCTGTTGGGCTCTTCAGATGTCTGTTGATCTTGGAAACCTTTTAAGAAATTTCAAACTGAACTCTTTATTTAATCAATGGATGTAGATTGTTCCCATAGTTACTGATAGGGATACCTCACCTAGTTTTGAGACATGGTGAATGATAACTGAACAGTACTAAATAAAAACTAGATGAGATATCCCTGAACATAGCGGAATGAGGACAGTCCACCTTTTCTATAATAAAGAGTTTGGTTTTAAATTTCCTGAAGGTTATCTGGATTGGCAAGCACCTGATGAAGTCAGAGTGTGTATCATCTGAAACATCATGGTAACAACAAAGCTGCGGACTATTCTGCACATAAATAATCATATGAAGATAGACCTGTGTCTGTCGAGTTGTTCGAATTACTTAATCTTAGGTGAACGAAATCAGACTGGTTGATGTGACTTTTCAGTTGCCAAGCCTTTTTTTTTTTTTTTTTTATTTATTCTTCAATATTGTCCTGGGTATGATGATAAACTACATCTGGCAGCAAGACATCTGATCTGTAGATTTTGAGGAGCGTGGAACCACTTCTTAATTGCTGTTGTTCCCAGGTTCACCTTGACCCGGAGTGGTAGCACCTGTTAGGGTACCAGCTATGGGCACATAGTGAATCCCTAAATTAGAGTCAAAAACTGGAAGTATAGATTTAAAAAATAAAAGAATAAATTACCAGAAACAGATTTTTGTAAAAGAAAAAAAAAATAAAGAATTACCAACAATAGATTAGAAAAAAAAAAATAGATTGTAAAAAGAAAAAAAAATACTCAAGCTTCCAATAAATTTAAATTGTGGTATTAAATGACCCATAAGGAGTTGATATGCCATTAAACAAACAAACCAACCAGTCATGTGCAAAGGATGCAACGGCCCTGAGTATCAATGTTGGGAGGGTATCCATTCAAAGAGTGAAATAAATATTTAGTTTATATTTAATTTGAATAAAGTGTTTATTTCGTGTTTCATCTGCTTTGACAAAATTTAAAATGTCTTCAGTACTAGGTCCTATAGCACCCACCCGATTTGAATCTTACAGGTATACAATCAAGTTGTTAGCCCTGGCATCAGCAAGGAACACCAAACCTCTGCACATCACAGAAACAAACATATTCTTCGATAAAGCATTGTCAGTTATTACAATATATTTTGATACATTTATCTTCAATCTTAAACTTTAGTTCCTTTTTACCACAACTTGAGCCATCAGTTCAATGGCAGTGAGTAGACAGTACAAGATTGGAAATAAAGAATAAGCTCTCAGTGCAATTCAAACTCATGGTTCCCTTTTGGCTCAGGTGAACATAATTTAGTGGGCATAATGGATAACTGCTCAAGATTGGAGCACAGAGAGACGAGTTCCAATTCCAGTTGGGTTCGTTATATTCACTAACGTGAAAATACCCTTGGGAATGGTATAAATCCACTTCTTATCACCCCACCCCAGTTATGGGTTAATTAGCAAGTCTTGTATCATTAAATCATTATTATCTCAAAAAAATAATTCTTATAATCTAAAAATATTTTCTGACTTTAAATAACCTGCAAAGGATTGATAAACTAGAAAGCAAATCAATCAATCAAATACTGATTATCTACACAGGTATGTCTTTTAGATTTATTTACATTCTCTGGAATATAATTGTATAGAAACTAATGTACGCTATTTACATTATTCATACTATTGTCCTCATCTTTGTGCCATATTTATCACAACATTTCAGCCGCTGTATGCTCCAGCCTTCTTCGGGTGGTTGGAATGTTCTCCACTACTTTAACAAGGTATTGAACTCGCAACTCTTTGAGTCCTGTCACTGGATCTAATCAATGCCTTTATCCGCTGTGCCATGTGTCCTTAAGGAGAGGTGAATTAACAGGAGATAACTGATAACTAACATCCATTAGACATGGCACATGGAACTAGAACAGTCTACCCCAGTGAGTGAAATAAAGGGTTCAGTTCGACATTTCAACCACCTGAAGAAGGCCAGAGCATACAACAGCTGAAATGTTGTGATAAATATGGCAACAAAGATGAGGTCAATAGTCCAAATAATGTAAATAGTGTACATAATACCTCATCTAAGAAATATAGACAGAAACTACTGTGGCCACATATTGAGGAATGAGTTTATATATTGATTGTAATATAAAATTGATGCCCCACTTTCTTGTTCTTTCATCAAATTCTGATTAGGTATGAATCCACCTCTTCTCCTCCCAGCTATGGGTTAATTAGTAAATCATTATTATCTCTCCACCACCAAATTCTTACAATCTAAAAATATTTTCTAGCTTTAAATAAGTTACAAAAGGTTGATAAGCCATAAAAAAATGTATCAATCATAATCCTCTAGTCTATTGCCTCATGAGACAAGTATAAGTTCTTTGTTTCAATTGCAATATTGAAAAGATTTTATAACAAAACGAGTGTGACTTTTTGTTTCTTTGTTTATTGTCTGTGATTTATTAAGGATAAAAAAAAAATCTCCCTCAAATGATTGAACTCTGGATTAGATTCAAACTATTGTTTGCAAATTCATCTTGTATTGAACCCTGCTCTCTTAATTCACATCCGGTGAGATGTTCTGAATTTCCACTAGATTGCAGCAACTGAATCACAAGCAGCAGCATCACCATATGAACCTCCTTTGGAAAAGTTCTCAGCACCTACACCAGAACCCTCCATGGTACCACCTTTCGAACCAACTGTAGAAACTCCAGAATTTAAAGCTGAGACTCCATCACCCATATCTGGGGTCATAGACTCTAAAGTAATGCCTACACCACCCAAAGCAGAACCTGTTGTGGGAGTTGAACCAACTGTCCCTTTCACCGAGTCCCTTCCTTCAGCTTTCGAAACTCCATCTGCTACACTTACTGCTCAGGTTGCAGTTTCTGCTTCTGAGATGACAACTCTTACTCCTGAACCTGCTTCAGGGGTAACAGCTTCTGAATCAAGTCCTCCTGCCCCCATGGTCTCAGTTACTGCTCCAGAAGCCTTTAAAGCTACTGCCCCTGCAGTGCCTGTGCCGGTGACATCAGAGCCAGCACAAATTCAGGCCAAGTCAGATCCCAGTTATTTTGTAGTTTTCGCCAATCCAGACAATACTTTAACCTTAGATTTAACTGATAACTTGGTGTTTCCAGCCTGGATGACAGAATCTCCCTCAAATATGGCTGAGGCTACAGTGCTTGATGTCCCTTCAGCAGATTTTGTTTTTATTCCATCAGAATCTAGTACTGGATCTACTGAAACTGTAAATATTCTGGCAGAAAGTGGAGATGCTGCACCTACTGCAGAACAGTCAGTGCCAAGCCTGCCTGAATCTGATAAAGCAGAGACAGCTCAAGTGGAAATCCAAACTTCGAAAGATGGAAAACCTGTAAAATTTTCTTTGTTCCCTGATGTTGCCTCTCATGTTTCAGAAACTGCAGAGTCACTGGCTAACCAGTCTAACAATATAAAGGCATCTTTTGCTGCAGAGGTGTCCTCTAAGGTAGCCCCCACCTCATCCAAAGAGGTAATAGCTACGACTACAGTTGTGACCGGAGAGACAGAGCCTGTGGAGTTGGTGCTGAATGAAGCTGTCCTTACATCAGAGACTGCACCAGTTGTTCCCTCTGAAACTCCTGTTGTAGAGGTCACACATACGTATGAGACAAAACCGGTTCAGCTTGATGATGCAGGCCAATCTTTGTCTGAAACAGTACCTGACCCGCAACCAGCTGTGCAGACTGTCACATCCCAAGATCCTTCTGAGAGCTCGGGTATCTTCCCTTCACTTGACACTGCCTTGTCACATATAATGCCAAACAGGGCATCTGCCACTGCTGAGGTTGTCCCTGAAGTGGTTCTTGGGCATATCTCAGCAGAACCTTCTGTTGAAGAGGCTTCTCCAGCTGAGGCTGCTCCAGTGGTGGAAATTCCAACCATACCACCTGTGACAGAAGTTTCGACAGAAGCCATTTCTGTTACAGAACCAGCAGATACATTAACTGGCGTGGTGACTGATGCATCTACTGCAAGAGAAGCTGCACCTTTGCCAGCCAGTGCCACAGAGATCACTTATACAACTGCACCTGAAATAGTAGTTACTCCTGAGACTAAATCTATTGATGAGAATATTGTTGCATTAGATGCAGTAACTTCTGAAAATGTAGCTCTTAAACCTAGGGATACTGTTCCTGTTGAGCCAGCAGAAGGAGATCTGATTGAAGCAGCCACGACTTTAGATGAAACCTCTGTTTCAACTGAAGCTGTTATGACCGCAAATGCAGAGGTGCCTATTGAAAGAGTGCCAGCTGAAATAGCTCCAGTTATGGTTGAAAAAGCACTTTCAGAAGTCACTCTGGCTTTGGCTGATGTCATTATACCCAACGTGGCTCCTGTTCCAGTTGAGGCAGCTGTGACCAAGGTGACTCCTGCTGCAGATGAAGTCACCATGCCTGAGGTTGCTATTCCTGAAGCAGTTCCAGTTCTGGCAGAGACAGCTCTTGCCCCAGGTGGGGCAGCTGTGGCTCAGGTGACTTCAGACTTAGTTGAGGCAGCTGTGGCTGAGGTGGCACCTGCTCCAGTTGAGGCGGCTGTGACTGAGGTGGCACCTGCTCCAGTTGAGGCGGCAGTGGCCGAGGTGGCACCTGCTCCAGTTGAGGCGGCAGTGGCCGAGGTGGCACCTGCTCCGGTTGAGGCGGCAGTGGCCGAGGTGGCACCTGCTCCGGTTGAGGCGGCAGTGGCCGAGGTGGCTCCTGCTCCGGTTGAGGCGGCAGTGGCCGAGGTGGCTCCTGCTCCGGTTGAGGCGGCAGTGGCGAGGTGGCTCCTGCTCGGTTGAGGCGGCAGTGGCCGAGGTGGCTCCTGCTCGGTTGAGGCGGCAGTGGGCGAGGTGGCACCTGCTCCAGTTGAGGCGGCAGTGGAGGTGGCACCTGCTCCAGTGGGAGGCGGCAGTGGCCGAGGTGGCTCCTGCTCCAGTTGAGGCGGCAGTGGCCGAGGTGGCTCCTGCTCCAGTTGAGGCGGCTGTGGCCGAGGCTGTGCCTGCCGCGGTCGAGACAGCTGTAACTGAGGTGGCTCCTGCTGAGGCCGCACCTGCTCTGGTTGAGGCAGCTGTGGCTGAAGCGGCACTTGCCCCGGTCGAGGCAGCTGTGGCCGAGGCAGCTTCTTCCCCGGTTGAGGCAGCTGAGGTGTCTACTACACTCGTTGAGGTAACTCCTGTTCCAGCTGATGTCATCATGTCTGAGGTTACTTTTCCTGAAGTGGCTCCTGCTCAGGCTGAGTCACCTCCTACTACATCGGATGTCACTTTGCCCAAGGCTGCCATGCCTGAGACAGCTTCTGCTCCGGCCGAGATGTTTGTGACTGAGGCATTTCCTGCTGAAACTCAGGTGTCTTCTGTGACTGAAGTGGCTCCTTCTCTTTCCAAGGACACTGTGACTCAGGAGGCTCCTGCTCTGGCCGAGACAATTGAGACTGAGGCAGTTCCTGCTCCAACTGAGGCCGCTTCTGCTTCATTCGAGGAGGCTCCTTCTCCATTCCATGAGGCTGTGACTCAGGAGGCTCCTGATGTGGCTGAAGCGACTCCTGTTCCCTCCAGGTCAACTGTGAGTGAAGCTGTCCTGGTTGAAGTTGCTATGCCTGAAGTGACACCTACTCCAGCTGAAGACACACCAGCCCTCATTGACATAGCATCAGCCCCAGCTAATACTGAGACAACTTTGCCTGAAGCATCTCCTGTTTCAACAGAGATATCTTCTTCAGCTGAAGTTGCTCCTGCTGATGAAATAGCCACATGTAAAGTAACTACTGCTCTGTCTGATGATATAACAGCTCCTACCCGTGATGAGATTACTACTGAGCTTGAAGAAACCCTGCCTGTTTCAGTAGAGGTTTCCGCTCCTGCCCCTGTGGATTCTGCTCCTGCACCAACAGAGGTAGCCAAACCCATCCCTGAAGAGTCAGCACCTCCCGAGGCCCCCCTAGTCCAAGAAAAACCAATTTCTCTTCTCCCACTTCTTGATGAAGTCATGCTTTCTTCATCAGTTGATTACCCGGCGACAGACTTTACTTCACCTATAGATCCTCCTCAACAGGTTTCACCCCCAGAAGAAGGTACATTACGTTCTATTATGATAGCACCTGCTATTCTGTCACCCAGGTCTGCATCTGCTCAAACTCCTGCCTCTGTAGACACACAAGTAGAAAATCTTACATCCCCAAAATGTGAAGCTACTACTGCTGAGGGACAGGTAAGATGTAGGTGTATGTTTGTGTGTGTGTGTACATACTTTATGATGTGTGTGTTTATGTTATGATGTATGAGTGTATGTGCATACTTTATGATGTGTGGATGTGTGCATGCACTTTGACGTGTTTATGCGCACACATGACATGTATACTTTATGATGCTTGTGTGTGTACTTTGACATGTGTGGATGTGTACTTTGACACATATGTGTGTGTGGATAATTTATGATGTGTATGTCTGTGTGCTTTGCTCTTGATTGTTTGCCACTTTGCAATTTTTAGGACAAAATTGAGAGCATGTGAAATTCTTATCTCTGCCAGATTTGATTTAAATAATTTCTGCGAGTTTTCTTTTTTTCTATTTACATTTATACATGCCAATATTTAACTGTTTCTATAGTTTTTAATTGAGCTGCAAGAGTCTGTCATGATGTTTATCACTGACCTCTATCCTGCGTATATCAATGCAAAAAAGGATTTTAAGAAAATATTAAAGTGTTGTTTCTGCGCAAACTGTGTAATATGTGTGACATTGATTGGTTTTCTGACAATATCATGAAAAAGACTTGCCATAAATTGTTTTTTGTAGTGTCAGTCATAACTGCCAGAAGGAAATGAATATCAAAAAACTGCAGATGATGATAAAAGTCTGAATAGAGAAATTGCCAGTTGGAAATATGCAATTTGGTTGATTTTTGGTTGCATTTTGGAAACGTGTGTTCTAACATTATGTCTGCAAGCATTTATCCGATTTTTTTTTTTTTCTTCTCCTGCTATATCCGTTTAAATTTTAGTGATTCAGTTTTTAGATGTCATGGTAATGGTATATTTAGTAATTTGATTCCTTTGAAACATCTCACCGAAAATAACATCTACTTTTTGGGATACACAACTTTGGAATGCATTTTTTTCACAAAGGTTGGATCTAGCATTGTCAGGTCATTTTATTTTTTGACCAATACAAAAAATTAAACTTTTTAGACAAAAAATTTTTTTTATAATTGATCAAAATTCACAATATCTTTTAAATTCTTATTTACTGTTGTCAAGAATTAATTGGCAAATACTTCCCCTTTATGTACCCAGTTGACCTTTTTTTTTTTTTTTAAATATGATTTGAAAATCTTTCCTATTCTGAAATCTGGTGTACAAGATAATTTTTTTTTTCAAGGTCATGTCCTGCTTTCTTTTTCAAATGGTTCTTATTTGCCTTTATCAAGTTTCATTTTTTTTTTTTTTGTCGACTTTTCTCTTCAACTTTTTTCCTTAAATTTTTTAAAATAAAAAGAGGAAATAAATAAAATCAAAGTACCAAAAAAAAAAAAGAAAAAAAAGCTTTTATCAATTAAACTGTATCGGATGTATACCCTCCCTTGTCAACTTGTTGCCTCCCCTGATGAATTATGTAAAAAATTACGAAAATAATACTTTAACTATTTTTAGATTTAAAAAACTAAAGAAAAAGGGGGAAATACAAAAATGTTCAGTTCTTGAATTTAATATTTTTAATAGTATAACGCACTTTGAAGCATTTCATGCACAGTGGAGTTGTGCAATCTTTACATTTTTTTGTCTCTTTTCTCTTTGAAAAGCCAGCATGCAGACATAGCACTGCCTTTGGCTTGTTCTTTCAGATTTATTTGCAGACAAGTACTCCAGGGAATAATGTAACCATGTGAATCCTAGAGTTGCCAGTTAGTCATTTAGACTCGAATCATGAATTGATGATGCCCGTATCATTGGAAAAAAAAAATTAACTTATCAATTGTCGATATCTGCTGATCTTGATCTGCCATTTAAGGATTAATGTCTTGCTACAAAATTTTGGCATAAAATAGATGATTAAATAAATGGTTGTTTAAATTATGATAACTCACACACTTTCACTTTTAAGTTGTCAAGTAGGGCAACCTGGTGTTGCCTGTGTTTTATATCAAAATAACATCAATAATGTATAAGTTATTGAATAATTTTAATAAGTAGAAAGATCTGGGAAAATTGCATGGTTTTCTTGTTTGAAATTTCTGATGAATTTTAAATTTATATATATATTATTATTTTTTTATTTTTTTTATTTTTTTTATTAATTTATTTATTTTTTGAATCAGTTTACCCCAAGCAAGGTGATAATGCCACTAAGATACAAGGGGCTACTCTGAAGACTTTAGAATGAACCAGAAACCCAATCCTAAACAGGCAACTATAGATAAACCTCTGCTCCTTTTCAAAATACCAGGGAGGAGTATGAACTGGACAATAGGCAAACATATCTACTCCTATTGACTTTATGTTTAAACATTATTTGATTTATTATAACAATATTCTTTACAATTTAATTTTTGTCATTTAAATAAGTATGTAAAGGAAATATGGGCATGTGTCCAGGGGGTTAGAACGTTTGCTTACTGACCATGAGACACGGGTTCAAATCTCACCATGGTTGATTTGTCAGGAAGGAGACTTCATGTTATCAGACCGGAAGGTTTAATTGTGGAACACCTTTGGAAAGTGCCTAAAAACCATACCACAGGTTGACCCAAGCCTTGTGAGTGAAATTGGATGGACGGAACCCTTGGGGGCTGTCGATAGCTGTGCTAGCATGAAGTTAGAAGTCATCGTGGCCGAGAGCTTGAGCGTGCTGGCCTTGCTCAAATTGTTGATCACACTAGATAACACGCTCTTTCCTGTTGCATAGTTGCAGTATAAACCACAGGTTGGCTCTGCAGGTGTTGAATAAACGTAAATGTGCCTGAGTAAGTGCCTGCAATTGCGATTGGCTAGCTGCCCTAGTAGACAGGTATCTTCGGATACAAGTAGTCAGCTATACAATATGTAGGAATTTTCCAAGTGTAGCTTAGATGTGGCACAAGTCCGAAAGTAGAGGACACCCAGTGAGGATTAAACTCACTACTCAGTTGTAATTGTTCTTGCGAGACAAGCTTGCTAACCATTACACCGTCTCAAGATGTGCTAAAATATGATTTTCTAAGCATAGCTTAGATGTGGTACATAGCTGAAAGTGTGGAGCACCCAGTGAGGATCAGACTCACTATTCAGTCATAATAGATCTAATGAAGCATGCTTGTTTACCATTACATCATGTTGAAGTGCCCAAAACTATACAATACATATAAAGGAAATAGTCTTTAACTCTGTTCTAAATCTTTTGCATGTATTTTCCTCTGGTTTAGACCCTGAAACTTCAATATTTAACCCTTAGAACTTTTTTTTTTTCTGGTGTCAATGGGGGACCATAAATTAGCAATTTGAGTGTTTTTATTTTTGCAGTGAAAAACATTGATTTGGAAATTCTTGCAAAAATCAGATAATTATAAGATTGTAATGAAACTTTCAGAACTTATTCACAAATGAATTTATTTTTGAAGCATTTCCTTTTTAGAAAATCTTGGTAAAAAATTTTTTTTTCATATCTGATACCCTCCCTCTCCACATTAAAAAAGCTTCAAGAAATATTTTTTTCCTTTTTAAATGCATTTAAACCTTATTTAAACATTTTTTGCGGGGAGATGCCTACTTAAAATCATATCTGTTCTAATGCAGTATATTCCAAGGAAGGTTTTGATAAATAATTTATTAGTTTAAATACTTTTTTGGAGTTTAAGTTGGGCACACATACAACACTTTTTGTCCATAGATTAAATGTCAGGAGATTTGAGAAAATTCATGAAAGTTTTTATTGGAAATTGTTGTTGTTTTAAGCGGTGACTATAGATAGAAGAGTCTTGTTTGCATTCTTGTCAATTTCTAAAGAATTAACAAATTTATTTTTAATCCAACATTTTTATTACTTCAAATGTTATTATAGTGGGTACTTTGTATTTAAAATAGACGTACTGCTTTTATCTGTGTCTATTACATTATACAACAAATACTTCAATTCTGATCACTGAAATTTGATCAGAATCATTTTTATATGAAGTTCCAAGAAATCTTTATAATTCAGTGATTTCTTATCTCGTATTTTTATCACGTTTATTTTGCGTGGTTAATAATTAAAGTCTTCCTAATGTCCCCATTGTTGTAGTTATGAACAGATCAAATTATTTCTAAGATGGCTGAAGATTTAACCAATCAAAAGGTTGTGAAAACAACAAAAATAAGAAAAATAATTTTAACAAAAATGTATTTTTGTTACATGAACAAGTTTATAGAGTCTTTATCCAGAGTATGAGGCTGGACAATGTAAATTACTATGATCATTTTTAACTGGTCAACATTTCTAATTTGGTACCTTCCACCAAGAAAGGATTTCTTTTTTTACACTCTTCTCTCTTTCTTGATATATTTCCTTCTCTCTCTCTGATTGGGTGTCAATTTCTTTTACTTTTTCGTTTCTTTCTTTCCCTTTTTCTTTTCACTTTTCTTTTCTTTTCCCTCTTCACTTTTCTTTTCTTTTCCCTCTTCACTTTTCTTTTCTTTTCCCTCTTCACTTTTCTTTTCTTTTCCCTCTTTTCTTTTCTTTTCCCTCTTCACTTTTCTTTTCTTTTCCCTCTTCACTTTTCTTTTCTTTTCCCTCTTCACTTTTCTTTTCCTTTTTCCCTTTTCTTTTTCCAATCTACTTTTTTTTTCAAATGTGGGTCAGTGATGTATTTTATTTGTTCATTGTTTTTAATATAAATATATTTCACACTAAATTTTCTGTATCCACTCCCTCACTGCCTATGTTAGGCTTATAATTAGCAGCTTCAAATGCATTATTAAAACCTGTGCAATGTAAGTATTTTTAAAATATTAGAAAAGAACAAATGGCAACCTTTTTTTTGCCAGAAATTAGAGACAATAATGAGGCTTCTTATAAAATTGTACAATCATCTTCATTTTTTATGTATATCTGTTTCTTTTGTGTGTCCACATGCATTTCAGGTTAAAAACGGCCTCACAAAATTAATAAATTAATGATTAATTCATAAAGGAAAAGGAAAAACAAGACAGTTAACATGAATGTTTGATCTGGATCACTTTCTAAAATTTTTTAACCCATTCCTTTATGAGGCGGGTTAATGAATGGTTGATATTATATGTTGCTTTAGTTGTCACTGTACAAACTGATTTTTTTCAGATTTAATAGTTTCTTATGATTTTAAAAAGGTTATTTAATGCCATTGAGCTTTCAAAAGCTTACCAGCCAGTCTCATGACAAAATTAACTTTATTTTGTTTTAAATGTGTATAGTCTAATTTTTTTTATTTTTACTTTGTGACATTTAGAGAAAATACAATTTGATTGGTTAGGTTTTCCACTTTTTTCTTCAAGGATTTCTAATCACAAGACTTAAATTTCAATCCCTGGTGCATTTATTGTTTAATATACTGGTTAAAAAAAATATAGCATTTTTTTTTTTCTTTCTACAGTCTTTAAAGTTTGGCTGGCCATGAAATCTATTCAAACATTACCAAGTTCAGAAAATTACTTTGTAAAATTTTTATTTTATTTTTCTTTAGTAACTGTGTCATTGTTATTAAGTAATCAGTAGATTTGGGAAGATAAATACAAAACTTGTACTCGGTGTCATCGCCATATTTCTTGTATTTCAAATGCACGTAACATGACCTTCTATTCATTTTGTTTACATATAAAAGGCATGCTCAGTAATAACAAAGAAACACAAGATGGAAATGTACTTCCATCAGCTGTTAATTTTTATTTTCTCATTCTTGTTGATACAAATAATCACTCGTCCACATGACAGCCAAGGCTCTTGTATGAGGGTCACTTGGAAATTTGATTCTCAACACCAGCAGAGATAGATGTTTATGTATACGAGTCTACATCAAAACTTTCCACTCAGTACACCCTCCCCCACTTGATTTTTGTTTTTCTTTGTTACAGATAAAGTCTGTTGGTTAAATAGCAGCTGAAATAAAAGTTTGTATAAAACTGGGAGTATTTCATTGAATTTTTCCATGTGGGAGAAAAAATTAAACCACTTGAAAAACATGGTTTGCTGAGCACTGCTGGAGACCAAACAATGGATGTGAGCATAGTTAGGTGTGAAATGCATTGCATTGACAAGCCACATTCTAGGTGGCCATGCATGGCTGTCAATTCATCAAATGAATAGCCCTTGTTTATTGCTAATGAAAATGCATAACCAATGGTGGTAACCATGAGGAATTTTGTTCTTTTAGCTGAAAAGTTTGTTGCATTTACTTATGTACAAGTATCTTTGGGAAAGGTATAAGTCCATCTCTTCTACCCCCAGTTATAGGTTAAATAACAGGACAAATTGGGTCCTATAGTCTAGGTGAGGCATTTTCTTCTTACTGGTTGGGTATCTACCAAGGAGCAGGGTCAGAAAAAGCAGCACCGGAATCATTAAAGGTGCCAAACAATGGATCACAACAAGCATAGCAAATAGAGGATGAAGACAGCCACGACACCGGAAACATAAACAAGGATGAACGAATTTCAAATGAGGCTGAATAACACAGGCAGAAACCCTTGGTAACACAGCAATCACATTGTACAGTCAACACTGTACTGCCACAAATTAAATACTGTCTCTTTGATTCCGGTACTGTTAACCAAAGCGGTTGGCAGCTCTGTCTTCATTTAATTTCTGCTGATTGAGCCATGGTGTGTTTTTTTTTTTTTTTTTTTTTTTTTAAAGGTCGTTAATTAAATTATTTTTGAAAGAAGTCCGTGACACAATAAGTGTACATATCAAAATTAAAACTACTTTAAATTGATTAAATGACAGATTATTGCATCTGTGTGAAGTAAGTTTTTTTTTGTTTTTTTTTTCTTTGTAATAAAGAATATTTAAAAACAAAAATCAATCACGGCTAGTATTCTTGGAAGAAGAGTTAAAAGTATGCCTATTCAAAATTCAAACATGAAATGATGATATTCTAAAAAAAATGTCAAGCGCTGTTGCTTCATTAAAAGTTAAATTATAATAAACTGAAAAATAAATATAAGCTGCTTTTTTCCTTTTTTGTTTCCTTAAAGAATTTTAATTCTTTTTATTACAAATTATAAAAAGATTACTTTTGTGTTAATAAAGAAATCATAAAAAGCTTGCTCTTTTTTTTATCATCATAATTTAAGTGTGCTGTGGAAGTTTAACTATAGTAGTGGTGGCCAAACTATGGCTCTCAAGCCGCATGCGACTCTGACCTTTAATATGCGCCTTGTGGAAATATTTTGGCTGAGCTCCTTTTTTCATCACAGTTAATATAAAAGATAAATAAGAAAAATTTCAAGCTTTATAATTATTTACTGAGTATGAATTGAGATTATTGCTTGCAGAGTTGTGTTTCTGCAGAAATACACAAAATTCTGCTAATAACGACATTATTACATATTTTTATAGTAATCATTATTTATATACTTATATATACTAATTATTATACAGGGTGGTGCAAAAGTAGGTATACAGTACTGGAAGATATGTTTGTATAATCAATACGTTTTGTTTTTCATTACTGTATACGTACTTTTGCATCCCCCTGTATAGCTTATATACTTATTGATCCAAACTTTTATATTAGGTTCTTCGGAAATTAATTTTATTCTGGGAGACGGAATAAAATTCTGTTCAAAATTCTGTGAAAAGTTCAAATTTATTGTCAAGAAAGTCGTTATTAATAATTAGCTTTGACAATCAAGAGCAGACGTGATCAGAAATGGATGCGGTTCTGATGAAATTAGATTAAAATAAAATTATATGTCGGGTGGCCAAACCATGGCACACAAACCACATGTGACTCTTTGACCTTTAATATACAGCTTGTGGAAATATTTTGGCTGAGCTCCTTTTTTTATCACAGTTAATATAAAAAGTAAATAAGAAAAATTTCAAGCTTTATAATTATTTACTGAGTATGAATTGAGATCCGATTGGATTAAAACATAAGTTTAATGTTAGTCTGGATGTACCAAAAATGTATGGGTAAATTTTGTTCATGTCTTGCGGTTTTCAAACAGCTGGACTTTATCATATGTGGCTCTTATATGAAGCAAGTTTGGCCACCCCCAGAACTATAGGTTCAACAATACCATGAGATGAAAAAGATTGAAAAATATTGGTTTTAGCCCTTATGATCTTTTGTTTTTCATTTTGTTAAGTCCTTACTATCATTAGATGTATCTTTCTAAAATATATTTACCAATTCCTGGGTGATCAGTTTATTACTTAATAACAGTAGAAAATTAATCCCCTACTTTATGACTGGTATAATGTTGCATTAATACTAATTTACCCATGCCGTAAAAAAAAAAGTTACATCATGATTTATTAAATTCTTACATTTCTTAAAATATATTTTTTCACTTATTATATTAATTTGTTGTAAATCTGGAGGGATCAGTTTATTACTTAATAACAATAGAAAACCGATCCCCCACTTTATCTTCAGTAGCTTAACAATAAAAGTTTACATGACTGCATATTCAGTTACGCCCTTGCTAATATTAGAAGCCTTCCACATGTAACCCTTTAAATACATTTTTCCAATTATTACTTTGAGAAGAGTTATCAATTTATTACTTAATAAAAATAGAAAACTGATTCCCCACTTTATGTCCAGCAGAATCTTGTATAAAAATACTTATTTACCTATGCCATCAAAAATGAGGATATATTTTATTAAGTCCTTATTATGCTTATTATTCTTAGTTTTTCACATGTGAGTCTTTAAATATATTTTTCCAGTTATATGTAGCAATAAGTGATCAGTTTATTACTTAAAGGCAATGCAAAACCGGTCCCCCACTTTATATCCATTCGTATCCATCATTATATTTTGTGAAGTTTGTACTGCTATTAGAAGGCAAACCTAAGTAAGTCTTTAGATATATTTTCCAATTATTACTGTTAGACTCTTCTTTTATGGAGTTTTTGTAAGCCTGTTTGCACAGTCCACCATTGTTAGAGCAAAAATCATGACATCACTAGTGCAAGGGAGATAACTAGCTACATTGGGTGCATTAAAAGTTGTAGATCTGCAGTCAAAAAATATAAAACATTTTGTGGTCAGCTAAACTTGTGGTTTTCCTCCCACCCGCTCTATCCTCTCCTTACTTTTCTCTCCTCCCTATCTATCTATCTATATCTTTCTCTTGAGATATATATATAAATGGAGCAAAATGATGGGTTAAGTTCGACATTCTAACCACCTGAAGAAGGCTGGAGTGTACAACGGCTGTAACGCTGTAATAAATATGGCGACAAAGATGAGGACAATAGTCCGAATAATGTAAATAATGTACAAAATGCCTCATCTCAGAAATATAGACAGATATTTAATAAAATAATCAAAAAATACTTTGCCCTTTTCTCTTAATAATAACATAAACATTCCAACAATATGAAAATTTTTTTTTTCACCAAGTTTGGGGCCTTTTTTGATCATGACATGCTCTTTTTTTGGTGAATTAGTGGAGATACCTAGTTTGATGTCATGAAGCAATTGCAAAAACAGATTCTATGTTTAGAAAAATGTTTGAAAATTCTGGAATCTAAGATTATTTTTCATTTTTATTTGTCATTAATTTTGGTTTGTTATTTATTCCTCCTCCTCTCCTAACCACCAATGATGTAGCTTCTTTTACCCCTGTACTTTTTTGTTTGCACCCCCTACTTTTTGCCCCCACGTTATTTTTGGTTGCTCCCTGTACTTTTTCTTTTGTTTGCTCCCTGTACTTTTGTTTGCTCCCTGTACTTTTTTTTCTTCTGTACTTTTTTTTGTTTACTCCTATACTTTTTTGTTTCTGTACATTTTTCTGATTTCAATGCATCACATATAATATTTTCCTGTAGCATTCTTCATAGATCATTTTTCTTTTAATATCCATGACATATTTTCAGCATTTTAGATTTAAAGTGAAGACACTTACATTTAGCCCAAATGCTTTGTCTTATGTTGCAAATGTGATCTTTGCAGTGTGCTTGTGCTCAGTGAGGTTAATTTCCCCAATGATTTTTATTAGTTTGTTTTCCTGCAGTAAATATTTTTCTCAAATTCTTTGCACAACAAAATTCCTTCAATATAATCAGGAATTTTTATTTACTTTTTTTGTTTTTTTTGTAACTCTTGCTGATTACCATAGGGTCCTACTGAAAAGGAGAGCCCACCTGAAAAGAAGGCACCAGCTCTGGCCACACCAGACAAAGCTCTTTATGAGGAGAGGGAGATGCTCTACAAGCAAATGGGTGAAGTTTATCGAGAACGTGATAAAGCCCTCAAAGCAATTGAAGACTTCTATCGGGAAAAGATGAATGCACTCCAAAACCAGGTTTGTGGAAATATTTTTTGTTTAAATCAGAATTTGACTTTTTACATTTCTCACTCTGACAACATTGCAATTTCAGATAATAACGTACCTTTTTGTAAATCCAGATGCAGCCATCTAGTGGTTTGATGTATAATTAATGTATATTTTGGCAGCAACCTTTCTTTCAAACATCTTTCATGGAAAACAGCCAACAAGGAAGATTTAATTAATCTTTTATTGAGTTATTCCAGCATTCTAGCATTTTTCCATTTCCCAGAGGTTAAAAAATAGAGAAGTTGTCCAAAGTTATAATTGTTCCAAGCGCTTTCAGCTAGTTCTCTAGCCATTATCAAGGATGTTGTTTTTGGATGGTGAATTTCTGTGTGTTGACTTCTACTTAGTAGTTTAGCTGTGTGGAGTACATGCAGAGTGAGAGGTGTATGCTTTTTGGCAGTCACCTACTATGTGTAGCCAGTTGACTTGTGCATAACTTCTATTTTTAGAAAACCTTTACATGCTGTCATCACTGCTAAACTTATTTAGCAGTGGAGATTGATAGTGGGAGAATGGTATTTAATCAACAATGCTTCCTTAATGATGACTTGTGTATGACTATGTGATTTGAAATAAATCTTTGTGTTATCAACTAGAATTTCTGTAGTTTGTTGCTTATCACATCTCCTCCCTACCTATTGTGATGAAGGCCCAATCAAGAGCCCTCAGCAGGAGCTAACTTAAATGGCAAGCAATAGGGCATTTTTTAAGCTAGTGTGTGTATATATATATATATATATATATATATATATATATATATATATATATAAAATAATCGACTCTCCCATCGAGATTCGACGTATGAGGGTCGAGCAGATCAGTTTTCAGGAAACCGACAGCCCGACAATCGGCACATGAGATTTGATTATAGTGGTGAAGGCTTCGTGCAGGACCATCCACACTTTTTGAAGGGACAAATACAGAGACCTGGTGCACCGAATGCCACAAGGTTCCCAAACGACCCTCCGCAGGTTTTGAATTCAGAGTTGTCCTTCTCCTAGACCAGTTGCCATCCATGGCTATAGAACCCAGTCTGTCCTGCTATTTTACCCATAGCTGGAGGGAGTGGAAGAGGATTCATACCTTTCCCAAGGGAATTAGCACGTAAGTGAATCTAATGGATTCGACTGGAATTCAAACTCGGCTCTGCGATTCCTCAATCCAAGCCGCTATCCATTACTCCACCGTGCCTATATATATTATATATATATGTAATCAGTGGTGACTTGATGTGTTGAGCTTGTCAGGCTTAGCCTAAGTGAGTCAACATTCAAATATATCTATTTCAAAGCAACAACCATCCTGAGTATGATGATAAACTACATCCGACAACAAGGCCTTTGATCAGCAGGTTTTGAAGAGCTGTTGTTCCCAAATCCACACTGATCCGGGGTGGTAGCACCTGTTAGGGTCTCAGCCATGGGAAAATAGTTAACCCCCAAACTGGGGACAAAACACTATAAAAGTGTAAAAATAGGTTTTATTACTCGCAATACTTTTTGGGAAAAAAAAAATATTAACTGCAATACATTTTCGGAAAAAAATATTACCAGCAATAAAAATCTTGTTGGCATTAAATAATCCATTGAGGTTGATATGCTGTAAAAGGAAACATACCAAACCAAATCAATCAAAGCAAAAAAAATCTTTTGTAGTGCAGCATTTTCATTCTTGACTTTTGCTGGGTCTAAAATTAGTTGTTTTAATTCTGTGCTTCAAAATATTGACCAAAATACATTTTGCTGATTTTGTTCATAATAAAGAAGAAAGGAAAAAAAAAAACAAACAAAGAAAGTAAAAAAAAAAAAAAAAATAATGAAAGAATGAAATAAAATTAATGTGGCTAGTTGGACTGCTATCAGGTTGGAAACATATTTAATAGGTAGGCAATGTATTTCTTGTTTTAATTTTATAAATAATCTTTTGAAAATCTCTAATGACTTGTATTCCTTGCTTTTCAAAGAACACATTTTTATTTCAACTTGTTGTTTTCAAATGTCCATTTTAAACAATTTATTCCATGCAGTATAAGGTTTTTTAGCAGAATGTATCAATTGAAAAAGGGCAAATTAAATTTAGCCTGACTTGAAGTTGGTGGAAATCAAAGAAAGTGGCAGTCTTGTTAACTGGAGGGTTGGGGTGTGGAGTGTGACTGGGGTAGTGTTGAGGAAATATGATATCAATCAACAATTCCTATCTCTAGCATTGATGACTTGATAACCAGGCTATAAAACAATAAAAAATGGAAAGGGAGCAGTAAACAGACAAAACATATCAAAGACTTTTTCCTCACTTTTTTTTGCTTACATGTCTGGAAAACTTTTTAAAATAAATGTTTATTTTTATAGAATTATTACAATTAATATTAAAAAAACATTTGTTTTTTTTAATCTCATGCACAGAAATTGAGTAAAGGAATCATCTTAGCATCTAAGTTATACTAATAGTATATTTTGTTAAAGATTGTAATGAGCCCGACAAACATTGATGACCAAGAGTTGCCACTGATATATGTACTAACTGGAATACTTGACATTGCTTGGGAAAAATAACTTTAAATATAACACTGAATTCTTGTCTGAAAATACTTTTTAGCCCTTTAAGTTCTTTCAATTGACTGATAAAAACACCATTGTAATCTCAAATTGACCTCTGTTAACCTCCAAAGTCATTGGATGTCATCACCACCTATCCTATCAACTTTTTCTACCCAAGTTACTCTCATGTAATAACTTACCTCCAAGAATATAATTTCTTGGTTGCAGTGCAGTTATAAAGGCCATAAACTAATTCACCCTTTCATGACCTTTACCAATCATGTAGGTCAAATTTGACCATATCCGCCCTCCATTTTTGAGTCCAAAAAAAATTTGTATTTCCTAACAATAGTATCTGTGTTTTGTTAGAAATTGATTTCAGTTAGTAAGAAACAGTGATCATTTGATGATAGAAAATGGTGTGTTTCTTTTTGAGGAATTTCTGCTTGTACTTTTGCTGGGCAAAGAAGAAAGATGTTTGGAAATGATTAAAAGAAAAAAAAGATATTTACATTCCTCGGACTGTTGTCCAAATCTTTAATGTCATATTCACAATGTTTTGGCCATTGTCCACTCTGGCATTCTTCAGGTGATATACATTGGAATTTCAAACCAAACCCTTTATTTCGTCCACTGCAGTAGGTTGTTCTAGTTCCACATGCCATGCCTTTACTGGATATGTTAATGTCAGTTATTTTCCTTGAACTCACAACTCTTTGGGTCAAGTTATGTGAATTACTTTAACCAACGCTTTTATCCACAGAGTGAACAACAACCAAAATGTTGTGAATATGATAATAAAGATGAGGACAATAGTCCAAACAGTGATAATACCTCATCTCAGAAATACAAACATTTTAATATATATATATATATATATATATATATATATATATATATATATATATATATATATATATATATAAAGAAAGAACAGTAAGATATATAATCCAGTGTTCTTATTGATATTTTTTATTTTTACAAAACAGTGCTCAATGTAAATTTACAGAGCATAAATATTATAAATTAATTGATTTAAAATATGGTTTCTTCGCTACACAGTAATAACCATGTTCCAAAAACTGAAGCTCAAAACTTCAAATTTAATTATATAATTAAATTAGAAGCATTAGTTCTGTTACATCTTCAAGTGAATTTTTAAATTTACTGAGTTTTAAATGCACATATAAATTCATAATTTCCTGTTTCCAAGGATACAGAGAGATCCAATCATTCAGACAGGGGCAGTAGAATGTTC